TAAATTCCACTGTTGATATGCAAATTCATTTGTCAAGGCGCCCTTCCTCCCCTAACCCAGCTTAAATATACGCTGCCAAGCTTGGTGGTGTTCATTCAGACGCTGTCTTTCCGACAAACCTGTTCTTCACCTGAGGACGGCTGCTTGCGTTGTGGCCGAAACGTCGTGAGAATTGTATTTTATGTTTAATTTTTATTATTTTATTATTTCCTTTCTACGTAACTTTACCGAAAGAACCAAGAAGAGTATTACATTTGTATACGATTGTAAAGGTGTAGTATGGGGACGTGACGTCATACGCGCTTTGAGGTGCGATGACGTCATGTAACCTGGGGTACTTAAGGGGGGCCCCCGTGACAAAAGCGGGGTCATTGTGGAAGCCCGGGATGGAAAGCAGTTGAAGGGAGATGAAGAGACAGCCAGGGGTAGAGCTCAAGAAGTTTTTAGAAGCCGGCTGTAGTTAAGGAAGGCGAAGAGACAGCCAGTAGGCTAGCAGTAGAGAGAGCTAAGGGTCCAAGGGAAGGAACGAGTGTAGGACACCTACCCCTGGTGGCTAACTACTTTGTTAATAAACTGGCGAAAGCCTTTACTTGAATACCTGCCTCAGCGTCGTCATTTACAACACAACACTCATTATGTTACGATAACATGATAATATAGAGAGAAAAGTTTCTTCGGTACAAAGATATCAAACAGCCATTTTTGAGCAGGGAGGGATAATGAATCATGGAATACCTACTAAATATCCGTCATTCGGCAAGCGTACGATAGCCAACGCGTCCTCTATGATTAATTATTCCTCCATAAATTTTTGTTCCTTGTACCCATAAAATGGCGTCATGATTATTTTCGCCATTGTCCTACTATGAACCATGAGTGACTGCATTTAACCATTTAGGATCTTTAATTAAACTACGGAGTTCCCTTATGGACATTTTTTTTTAAACCGCTCACGATTTAGTATTTCGTGGGCACGATTAAGTATTTTACGTGCAAAAAATAAAAAAAAATTCATTTAAGGAGCATTTTGCTTCTCCATGGGAGAATGGAGAAGCATACATTTTTAAATTAATGTTATTAAACATTTTAATTCTGATGATTCTACCAGGGATTTTCATTCTGTGGAATGAATATGTGATTGTTATAATTGAACTCTCCATTTTGCTTCGTTCTACTATAAAGTTTCAAGTATTTTTTTATAGTTGTAATTACTTTTAATATTTGATAATTCTAACAGAATTTCTATATTATATTCTGAACATCTGCAGTTTTAGTTAGACGATGAATATTTTCCAGTGAATTTTATGCTAAATTTAAGCTTTCAAACGCCTTTTTAATACAGGTTTTCTCCAACAACATCATAGCGTAGCACCACATTAAATACGTACTACAATGACAATAGTTTAAAGTGATTTGAAGCATGTTTATTTTCAAAATGGAAATATGGTTTTAGGGGGTGGAGCAGAGCTTTGTTACATCATATTTGAGGGGAGTCTAACTTTTTGTGACGCCGTGTGATAAGGGGGGGAGGGGGGATAAAAAATCGGCCAAAATCGCGTGACGTCATTTATAGACGGCCTTCTCGGCCTGTTGTCGTCCAGAGTAGGTCCCGGGTTAGGACCCAGTTGGGGGTGGAGTGAGATGGGTGATGTTAGAGCCGACTAAACATTGCATAAGATAGGGGTTGAAGGCCACAGCGGCTCGGAATGGGAGCTGTAAGAACAGAGCCCCTGAGTGTGGTGCCATTGACATGGTTTTGGCAACCGCACGCCCGAGCCAGGGAAGTGAGGTTTACTCTTATGATCTGGAATGAGCAGGGGATGGGTTAAGGGCCGTCCATAAATGACGTCACGCACTTGGGGGAGGGGGGGGTCAGACATTTGTGACGATGTGTGACGAGGGGTGGGGGGGGGTTGAGAAATGTGACGTCACATCAAAATGCGCAACTAATAAATAAATATAGACAACACGTTCTACTTGATTAAATAGACGTTTTAATAAATGTTTTCTCCTACAACATCATAGTGCATCCCCATATTAAATACGCACTACAATGACAATAGTTTAAAGCGATTTGAAGCATGTTTTATTTTCAAAATGGAAATATGTTTTTTTTTGGGGGGGGGGCGTGGCAGAGCTTTGTGACGTCATATTTGAGAGGTGGTCCGACTTTTTGTGACGCCGTGTGACGAGTGGGGGGGGGGTGTCAAAAATCGTCCAAAATCGCGTGGCGGCATTTATGGACGGCCCCCAATGAGGCGGTATCATGGAAAGGGATTATGGAGGAAAAACGGAGGCGGTATCATGGAAAGATTTAAAAGAAAATTACCAACGGATGGTGGGCAGTCAGGAGTGAGACTGGGTGAGAAGGCTGTTAAAGTATCTTCAGAGAAGCAACGAATCACGCAGCACAGACTTGTACAATACTTTTCAAGGGCACGTATCTTCAGAGAGCAACTATTAAGTGAGTCTACACTTCTTGATTCTTTCGGTAAAGTCACGTAGAAGGGAAATAATAATAATAAAAAAACAAAATAGAATAATTCTCACGACGTTTCGGCCACAACGCAAGCAGCCGTCCTCAGGTGAAGACCAGGTCTGTCGGGGAGACAGCGTATGAATGAAACACCACCACGCTTGGAGCGTCTATTTAAGCTAGGTTGGTAGGGGGGAAGTGCGCCTTGACAAAAAAATTTGCATATCAAGAGGAATTTAGCATATTTATGGGAAATGCAGGTATGTGATTAGTACTACTTGTGAAATGCGTAGGAGATGGGCGGGGGGTTTCAAAGTCATATTATGCCCGTGCATTATGCAGGATTAGCAGCATCAAAGGGAGGGTATAGGGGTAGTATTAATAAAGGGAAGGAATGTTAATAGTTTATTATTATACAATCTGCTATACACTATACCATTGACCGTCGAGTGAAAGATACTAAGAGGAAGCAACGAAATATGTCAATGGGAGAGTGGTAGTATGAGACTTGCAGCGGAGCAAATAATCCATTCCCTGCGGAGAATACAAGATATATAGTCATGCCAGTGAGTGGACTGCGGTCTGAAAGTCACCGTAAACGTGAACACAATCAGTTAGTCGGAGTAACCATTAGCCTACACAATCCGCAAAGACATCACTCCAACCATCAAGAAGGATCCTGTTGAGGAGCCTTTCAAAACCATCACCTTACCTTACATTGCTGGGGTCACAAAAAAGATCTCCAAAATCCTGATTAAACACAAGATCCAGGTCCGATTCAACACAGTACATAAAATCCGTGATCTGGTCCCGTCTGTAAAAGATGTGGTTCCTGACATACAGTACGATGGCGTCTACAAACTAAGTTGCCTCTGTGGTAGCAGTTACATTGGAGAAACCAAACGACATGTCTCGGACCGCATCCGTGAACATAAAGCAGACCTGAAACACGGTAGGACAAACACCTCAGCCGTGGCAGATCACTGTTACAATTCAGTGGGCTCACATAACATTGACTTCCCCAAGACAGAGGTTTTCTGCAAGCCATCTGGCTACCATGAGAGATTCGTTCATGAGGCGATCCACATTTACAAACACAGAGACAATTTCAACCGAGAAGATGGATTCTGGCTCAGCAATCGTAGACGCTCCAAGCGTGGTGGTGTTTCATTCAGACGCTGTCTCCCCGACAGACCTGGTCTTCACCTGAGGACGGCTGCTTTCGTTGTGGCCGAAACGTCGTGAGAATTATTTTATTATGTTTTATTTTTATTATTTTATTATTTCCCTTCTACGTGACTTTACCGAAATAACCAAGAAGATGAATCCCTGCAGTCACGAAAGCTTTAAATCGAAATTGACTCCACACTGGCCTGTACAGTACCCAGTGCACGCCCGAGATATTGGATGCTCACTTGCTCCGTGTCCTTCTCTCCATCCCAGCCGTGGCCGCTCCTTCTTGTCCCCCCGCTTGTGCTTCTTCTCTCCCTTCCCTTTGTCTTCATCATCCCCATCCACCCAACCTCACAGTCCTCCTACCCCCCCTCCCCACACACTTCTTGTTGCCATTGTTTAGAAACTGGTAATACTTGTCAATCTAACTCTCCCCCACTCCCCTCCCATCTAACACTGTCGCTTGGGTTCACGACTGTAGCCCCCATCGGTGGCTACGCTGACAAAAAGAGTCCCATAGAAGTGCACTGTGTTATCCATTATCCACCACTGGTATCCTATTATTGTAATAGTGTATGGTGTATATAATGTTAGTGCTTTAGACAGTTACGCTTGTACGAATGTAGTGCAGTGGTTCTCAACTGGGGGTATGCGGACCCCTTTGGGTACACCACGTGGCAATGTTCCAGGGGTACGTGAGGTGATTTATGAATGTGTGAAATTATATCATAACGTTAGTGTCATTGGTGAATAATCATGTTGTATGAATCTGCCAACATAAAATAACTACGATAAAATTTTAGTCCGTATAGTAACCTAGAATGATATGAAATAACTTTTTAAACTCATTGGTCGGAAACAATTCGGGTTTCCAAGAGTAACCGGCAAGTGTGAACAAATAACGTCACAAACTCAGATTGTCCGTAGAATGTGTTTATTTGCTTGCAGTTACTTAACTAATTAGAATATACCTCACAACAGGGGTAGTTGGTTAAGCCTTATTCATGTTCATTATTAAAACATGTATTTCTCATAACCATGTTGGGTCAAGCAAGGGGGTACGTCGTTGAAACTAAACTTATCAAGGGTGAGGAGGTACACAATAGTAGCCAAACAAGGTTGAGAATAACCACTGCTCTACACGATAACAATTGGGTGCTGTTAGTTGCATTGCATGAAGCAGCTACTGCAAATAAACAAAAATAACTTTCCCGTTCGGTTGCCGAATGCCCAACCATTGCCGTGACGCAACGCGAACTGGCGAAACGGAATGCATTCACAAGGGCGTCTCCAGCCCAACCCCGCTTACAGACACTCGCAGCTGAATTGCTGCTTCACGTATTCGATAGGCGGCTCACATGACAGAAGGTTATGCGCGAAACTACCGAGCGTTTCAGATAGATTGTGCTCGTGTGATTCCTCGCAGGGAATTTTGCAGAGAACCTTTCAGGTAAGGACCACGCTAAATACTGAAGATGTTGATACATTCTTTATTCGGTTACTGATGTAGTGTTGTTGTTGCCAATCCATAGGCGAGTGTCATGTTTGCAGTGGCAAGCTTGCTACGTGAATAACAAGGTGACCTGAGTTTTACTCTTCGCCACAGTTAAATTTATATTTGAACCCGTCCCGAGGCCCTCCTCCATCCAAATCGCACTGCGCAGCCTGGCAACGTCAGAGCAACAACCCCCATCCTGAGGTGGATTGACAGAGGGTTGCACTTAATTTGCATTACGTTTGTATGTGAGCAGATATGTGCGCAGACGTCAGAGCCAACACTTAAACATGGACAATATACCGCTTACAGATTGTACCCAGTTTCCTCGAATACGCCTGTCGAGCAATGCCGGTTGAAGCTCGTGTGGGTCCTGCAGCATATGTTATGAAGATGCCCTTGAAAGTTCGGGGCCCGTACCATATGCTACTTTTGCTACTAAGATAATCCGTCACTGCTGTCGAGGCGTATCGTTCGTGTCCTTTGTCCTTGTGGCTGTGCTTCTTCATCGTTCTGTGCCTGCGTCTCTCCAATAATCTTTTAGTGCCTGCGTGACTGCGACTCTGCCGTGGTGTATGAATCGTGAACTTTTTTAGCACCATCCACAGCCAACCGCGAGATGATGGTTTATTCTCCTTGACGAATTTGGTTAGCTCGCATTACCTACATTTCAATCCAGGTCGTCAGTTTGTAAAATGTATTAACAGAAAATATGCCTCTTCCAGATATTTATCCCTCTGCATACAAAAAAAATGATTATTAACACATAGTATCGATATGGACGAGAGTTTGACTTGTGTTGAAGTAATGCTGCTGTAACTATAGACTCCAATAGGGCCATGTGCCGATGGGATGTGTAAAATGTTTTGCATTGTCCATGTAGAGTGACAGACGTGTATTGCTGTTTCCATTTAATTTGCGTTATTCACATCCACGACGAAGCTCATGATTATTTTGTGCTCCGTATGGTATAATTTTTGCGACGCTCGAATGTAATTGGGGATTGCCTAATGGACATCTAGTGATTCACTAAGACCGACCTCGAGCTCATGAGAGGCAGCATGTCGAAACCGGTGTAGAGTTTTTTTTTCGTTGAAGTAATGTTGCCGATATGTCATTAAACACACACACACATTTTACTGATTATTTAACGCTCTCGAATTAGTTTCACGTGGTTTTCCAAGTACACGTAAACCCATAGGTGCATTAAAAAACTTAAACAACAACGCACGATATGTGTCTGTGCTGTAATTCACCTGAATCTGATTCCGGTCTGCAGATAGAATCATATTCGAACCGGTTATGGTCCTGCCTCCTCCAACAACCTGCTTTGACAAAGCATGGCAAGTTAAGGGCAAATAATCCACATAAATCTCTTACCCATGAACTTGACCACATAATCCCTGTTTTACGTTTCCTTAATTTGGCTTCCTATTCAATCTCGAATCCATTATATAAATCGCTCTCTTTGTTTAATTTGGCATGGGCTTACTTGCTCATGCTTACCTTTATGCCCCCCATTCTGCCTACGCCTCTTCCTCATCTGGCCTAGGACTTACTTATTACACTCACACACAAAATGCAAGACTGTTGATGGACGAGTCTACTTATAACACATTTGCATCTCCTTCAGTCTGGAATGCAGTCCCACTCCATACATGGGCCATACGGTCGCGAGACGTTAACTACCTGGAGCGAGGTGCAATGCTTTGATTGGTGTAGACCTCCTGCTGGTGTCGGAGCCTTCTCCTACATTAACATTAGCTGCCCCCTCCATCTCTAAACCTTTATAAACAGCTTGCCCTCAGAGGCTAACCTCCCTGTTCCTGATGACAACCGCTTGTGTTGCGATCGAAACATCATGATATTTTTATTATTTTTATTCACTTTCTTTCATTTTTATTGTTATTATTTTATTGTTATTCTTTTTTCTATCTACGCGACTTTACCGAAATAACCATGGAATATTGAATTATTCTGCACAGTCAGTATTTTTTTCAAATATTATAATACAGCATTTAGAGATGCAACTATCTGAATTATGCCATGTTATTATGATATAAAATCACTGTGATGATTGTCATCGAAACGCGAATGGACCAACAAAGGGCTATCTTGTGTTTGCCTTTGTACTATTGTATCAACATTTTAGAGTGTCGCAATGCAACTCCTACAGGACAGGTGCTGACGATGCATCACTCTCGGTGGCTCATTTGGCTTCTGCTTCAACCTGTCCTCGCGTATCAACTCGGTGAAGTATTTTCTCCATTAACGTCGCCGTTGTTGCACTTAAAGCTCAACCATTTAAAACATGTATATAGATACATGCAATAATAATAATAATCATGATAGTTAAAATTAACACCTCTTTATAGCACTGCTCTGTTTCTGTGGCCAGCACCAAGCCCGGCTCTCTTTGTCCCTCTAGCGGTGATGTTTATATATTGCACCAGGTTATCATTTGAGGCTGAGTCGACCTAGAGGAGGCCCAGGAATAGTTCAGATAAATTGTCTATGGTGTTGGTGGCCGTAAGCAGGAAACGATCTCGGGTCGCCAGGTTCATATCATAGCATGCTAACCACTGCGCCACCGCTCCCCATATACACAAGCACAGAAAAAACATCTTCTTATCTCATTTTTATTTATATAGCGGCTTGACCATTGAACTTAACAAATAATTATCATTTTTGTTACAGCAGAACGGTGTGATGAGATGAGTTGATGAGAAGGATGGTAGTGCGTGATGAATATGATGCTGCACAAAATAAATGATGGATGTGTTAATAATGGGGACGAGATGGGGAAGATGAGTTTGGGTAAGTGAGGGAAAGTGCGTTTTAAGGGAAGAACGAAAAAGAGACAGTGAAGCTGATTATTAGAGGTGTATGGGCAGTTATTGTTCCAGTGTAATGGGGGCAATCGTGATTGGGCACAAGGAGGAGGGGGAACAGAAACAGCTGGAATTGTAAATTGAGATGAGCAATGATCTGTTAGTGCCTTCCCCTCGTCCCAGTCTTAAGCCATGAAGGGCTTAGTCGTATCAGAGCCGGCACGTGCCCCGTTCAATCCGACGGCTTAAATATATTTCCTGCACCAGTATCTCAAGCACTTACCACAGCGTCCGTTCACTATTGAAGAGAGAGAACGACTCAGAGGCGCGAGAAGGACCCACGTATAATCAACAAGTCAGCCATGTGGTGAGCCGGAGACATTATTTCCCCAAGCTCTGCGATCCTCTACATATTAACGTGCTATCGGCCCATTCATGTTTTACATGTTAGATGATAAATTGAGCATAAGGGGAAAACCCACGCGTGTGAGGAGGAAACACTCTATCCAATTCACACATAGCAGGTTGGGTCCATATATTTACTCGACTGCATTCTCCTGGCGAGCCAGGGCATGTCTCATCCTCGATGCCCAGTGGAAGGGAGTTTCACAACATGCTTGCGATCCACCAACCAACCCCTCCCCTCCGCAGTGCTGCATTACAGGTATATGCCACCACCGCGCAAGCAAACTGGTTTCTTTGATACAAATCGCAGGAAAGCCATCCTGAAAGCAGATATTCTAACTCATTCTCTGAATCCATAAAATAGGTTTTTTGTTTGGGTTAAATCGCATAAATATAAATATGTCATTAAACCCGCCACCACCCGAAACAGCCAATGAGCAAGGTTTGTCACGCAAACAAAATATGCAACTTAGTTACTAGTTCAGCACACCGGTGTGTTGGAGAGTAAACCCACTACATTTACAATTCGAGTACGACATTTCGTCCTTAATTACAACCAGCCCTTTCAGGCGATAGCCAGAATTGTGGAGTAATCTTCCTGTTTCCGTCCTTAAATAGAGGGGTTAGTTTGATCATTCGCCGGTAGCGAGGGTTGGTGAATCGGAAAAATGTTTTGAAACTCGTTTCTCGTGGGCATCGTGGAGGTGCCACACCCTGGCTCACGGGCAAAAGGCGATGCAAACAAAAGTGGACTCCACCTGTCACCTGCTCTGTCTGTATGTGATTTTCTTCCTCAATGTAAGCACTCATTATTTTCCAATAACACCTTTAATATGTAGAGGCTTACAGAGATTGGGTGATCGTTGGCGTCGACTCATTGTGTGGCTGCCTTCCCGCGTGTGTCTGTGGTTCCTCTTCGCACCTCTGAGTTGTCCTGCCACTATGCCAGTGAACAAATACTGTGCAGCACGTTACACGTTTAAATTGTTAAATTATGTTTTGTGATATCACGTCTCAGACTCTCCGCCCACTATGCGGAATTAATCAAGAGTTGTATGCTACACATCAAATATGTTAACCGACCCTGAAATTGTGTGTTCACTCTTTTTCAGTTAGCTCAACTCCAACGACCCAAGCAGGTAAGCATTTACATTTGTCAACCGAATATTGGCTCCAAGCATGCCTTTATGTGGGAGGTTAAAGGGTATTTGCCCGGCATGTGTTGGATAATGACACTGCTTGTGCTAGAGGGACCTCCAGCACACACGCTTGTAAAAAAAACACGCGCAAAAATAACAGTGCAAATATAATAAGAGGCGCCAGTAAAGGCCAGGTACAGGTGAAGTTCTATGCTTTGGTTTAACAGGGATGTAAAGAGGGGGAGTGAAGGGAGGGAACCAAGCTGTAGACGAGTGGCAAGGGTAATCCAGAATTGTGAAGCAGCAATGCTTCTTTTTTTTCATCCAAAGTTTTAGCAAATGCATTTTTTTGTAGGAATGAAGAGCCAATTTTGAGGATACGGGAGGGAGTTAGAAGAACCCAGTAGTCATTTAGGCAACTGGCAGATTTGTTAAAGAGGACCTTGGGATGAAGATAGCTCAGTTATGATCTTGAGATATTCGGGAAGGGACACATTTCAATTAATATACAGGTTACAATGATGAGTTATATAGAGGACGTCTAAGGAAAATATATAGGAAAACATAACTGGTATTTTTTTGTTGTTGTTGAACGTGAACAGTTTTTGTGAGCCCCAATGACCGATACAGATCTGTGCATTGGAAAGCCAAATGTCTATTAGTTTGATGTTCTTATTTAAATCGGTTTGTCCAGGAAGTGTACTGTATCTGCAAAGGATTGGATTAAATTGTTCGTGGAAAATAATGAGTCGTTAATGAAGAGAACATTTATATTGGAGACAAAACAGAGCTATGTGGACCACCAGAGTTAATCATGAAGCTATCAGTTTTGCTATCAATAACTGCTGCATATGATAATTGATTGGTTTTTTACCCTTTTATCTGGCAATAAAACTGACACCTTTTTTACAAGGAGTCATGTTTTCATTGACCACAATACCTGCGGTCGGAATGCAAAAAAAAACACAACTCTGATCATGTATGCACTGTCCTTGAAATTGATTGGTCCACACCCGAGACAGCTTTCCTTAGAGCCTAGTCTCACATGGTGTTGGACCAGATGACGCCAAAAGGCGCACAACTCAAAGACAATGCACCATCAGAGTACGATAGCTCGGGGTAAGCATTTACACCATTGGAACTGCTGCATATGTTAACCTATCAGAAAGTTATACATTTTAGCCTGCAGTTTAGAGTAGTTGTTAAATAATACTAGCTTCGCAAGTAGTGTGGGATGCCAGACACGACCAAATACTTTAGAAATGTCAAGGCCTATTATCATAAACTCTCCAACCGGGCCAAGCCTTGAGCCCCATATATAATTTACATAAGCTAATAAGTCACCTGCAAATCGTTCTTTATGAAATCCATTCGAATGATTACGTGAGAATGTATGTCTATAAGCAACGGATACTCAGATTGTAGTCTGCCAATCAGATGTCTTAAAAGAGGTGTTTGCAGGTGTTACCTGGGTAGAATTGAGTTGCCTGCTGTGTCCGTGAGATGTGACAGACTGAAAGACTCGAGAAAAGTAAACAATTTGCTTCCCAAGCGGCCACATTCACACCATTCACATACAGGAATGCACAGTACAATACCTGCAAGTTAAGGGCAGCTATTCATCTCACAAAACCCACTCTACTTTTTCACTACACATGACAGCATCTCTAACACCTCAGTATTTCCGGAAGAATGAAAATTTGCCTGACGTGTTTATACCTATTCTTGGTTCTTTCAGTAAAGTCACGTAGAAGGTAAATAATAAAATAATAAAAATAAAACATAATAAAATTGAATTCTCACGACGTTTCGGCCACAACGCAAGCAGCCGTCCTCAGATGAAGAAAGAGAGCTGTCGGAAAGACAGCGTCCTAATGAACACTGCTAAGCTTGGCAGCGTATTTTAAGCTGGGTGGGCGGAGTAGAGCGCCTTGACAAAGGAGTTTACATATCAACAAAGAATGAAGCATGTTGATGACAAATGCAGATATGGGATTAGTCACTCCTTGTGGAATGTGTAGGCGGTGGGGAGTCTCAAAGTCATATTATGCTAATATATTATATAGGATGAGCAGTAATAAAGGGAGATACATTTTAATAATAAAGAACTGCAACAGCCCAAACCACTGCGTATCAAGCTAGTGCATTATTCGGAAAACAAAAAGAGGAGTTTCTAAAGAACTACACATACCCTACTACCATACAATTAACCGATGTGAAACAACTAAATATAAACTACATCAATATAATCAATGTACTCAATATACTCTCAAATAAGCTGAGCTGTTAACATTAAGTAACTGGGTATATGTAGTGGTGGTATTGACGTGCGCCGGGAGTGATGGATCACGGGGCGCGGGGTTGGGCACGCGGTGTGGGCGTGGCAGGGACGCGCGCGCCGGTGGTGAGGCGCGCTCACACAAGCTGGGAAAAGAGGATCGTAGCGAGTGCGCAGTGATTGGTCAGATAAGTGAGTACTCTCAGCGACGTCCGCAGGAGGGGTATAAAGGGGGACGCGCGAGAGCACTCGTGGTCAGTGTTAACCAGTTGAAGACCGAAGACGGGGTGGAGGAGGTAGGGGCCCTGTGTGGCTCGGAGCCGAGACTGGGGGGACCGTAGTCCGACGCCCGTGTGGGTCGGGACGGTGGTACCCAGAGCCGAGACGGGCACCCCGGCTGGGTGTGTCCCGGAAGGCTACAGGGCGTAAGAGCCCGTGTCAGTACAGCTGAGTGGGTGTTGGTCACCCGTGTAGCTGAGTGGGTGTTAGTCACCCGTGTAGCTGAGTGGGTGTTGGTCACCCGTGTAGCTGAGTGGGTGTTGGTCACCCGTGTAGCTAAGTGGGTGTTGGTCACCCGTGTAACGAAGTTGTAGTTGAGTGGGTGTCCGTCACCCGTGTAGCTAAGTGGGTGTTGGTCACCCGTGTAACGAAGTAGGGTGTTAGTCATCCGTGTAACTACAAGTTGGTGAAAATAAAGAGTGTGCTACCCGTGAAGTCGTCTCCTGCCGAGTTACTACTTTACAACTGGCGTCAGAAGTAAACCTGTCTTCAAGGAGAATGGACACAAGGAAGACTTCTCGTTCCCACGTGCAAGACCGGGGAGACGACGACGTACCGGTGACACCACCCTCGGGAGGAGAAGACGAGGAGTTGCCGCCGATGCAGCACTTCGCGGAAATGGCCGATGCTCCGCCCGCCTCCGACACCAGCCTGCAGGACGCACACTCCCGCCTGGCGGAGTTGCTGCTCGCCGCCGCTGCGATCTTGGCGGAGATCTCCGTTCCAGCGGCCGGTGGAACGCCTGCGGGGTTGGAAGAGGCGGCGCGGCTGGAGGGTTCCCGCCATAAGGCGTTTCGCGCCAAAAGTTTGGGAGTTGGCGCCATTTTTGAGGGTCCGCCTCCGGTTGGCGGGAAACGCGGACACCACGTGGCCAGAGGTCTCCACACAGCGCAGCCCGCGTCATCGGCGAGCGCCGCAGCTCTCCAGTTTGCGCCTGCAGAGGGAGCCGACATTTTCTACAACCACAGCAGCGCGCGGGAAAATCGTTCCAACGACGACGACGACGATCGAGTTCTCCAGCAACGATTGCCCGCGCTGTCGGTGTTCAAGGCGGACGGGGGCGACTGGGGAGCCTTCCAGCGACGGTTCATCGCGCATCAAGAAATGTCGGGGTGGTCCGACACCACGGCCCTGCGCGCGCTGCCAGCAATGCTCGACGACGACGCGCTTGCGGCCTTCACGTCTGCCCCGAGGTCGTCCCGCTCAACGCTCCAGGCCGCGCTGCACCTGTTGGCCAAGGTGTTCGGGCCGCCCTCGACCTGTCGCCACCAGTTCTACGATCGGCGGAAGGTGGTTGGAGAAACAACGCTCGCCTATCGCACGGCGCTGCTCGCCCTGGCGGATTCAGCTTTTCCCCGCATGGACAAGGAGGGGAAGGACGCCATGGTGACGGAGCAGCTGCTGGCGCTGGCCCACGGATTGGGAGTTCCCATTAATGCGGCGGACGAGATGGACATCTGCTCCCTGGGGATTGCCACGAGTATCCACGCTTACGAGGTCCTACAGCGGAAGCCGACGGTCGTCTGCGCATCGGTGGAGAACGGGGCACCGGCCGCCACGATCAGCGGACCCCAGCCTGCTGTGCCTCGGGAGGAGGCCTTCGCTGGTTCGAGGCCGGGGGAGTGGAGACCGGGAGGTCGTTCGCCCACACGCTCCTCCCGCAAGCTGGAGCAACCGAAACCTACGACGTCCCTCGTCGTCTGCTACAACTGCGGCCTTCGGGGCCACGTCGCGGCCGGGTGCCGGGCCCCGCGTCAACGCACCGCGGGACCACGTCCGGACGACGACCAGGGACTCAAGACATCCCAACTGAACCCGGCAAGTCGCGGCACCTCACACGCTCGGTCCACACGCACGGCACGTTCGGATCGCCGCTTAGCGGTGGGGGGACCGTGTATGGGCGCCGGGGGTTTGGTTCGGCGAGAGGGGTCCGCGTACGGCCCGAAGGCAGTCGAGTGGTCCGAATTGGCCCACAGGATTGTGGCTGCGTCGGCCGGGTCGTCCGTGGTAACGGGGTACATTGACGGGGTTGAGGTCCGGGTGCTCGTGGACACGGGTGCGTCGGCCACTATTATTTCGGACCTTATTTATAATATTCTTCCCGTACAATGTCGACCACTTCTGCCGGTGGACGTACCATTTTACGCGGCAAACGGGGGATCTTTGGGAATCATCGGCCAGATTCGGGCGAATATTTGTATTGGCGACATTAAATTGGCGGGTCCTATTTTTGTATCATCATCGTTGGCCGTTCCTTGTTTACTAGGCACGGACTTTCTGTCTAAAATGCCCATAAAAATTCTCATAGACCAGGCCTGCATTGAGCTTCCGTCGGGTCGGCGGGTTGAGTTTTTGAAGAGTCCAAATAAGATACGCACGGCTTGTGCGACGGTGCAGGCGCTGGCAACCCGGACTGTACGGGTGCCCCCGGGATCGCAAATGT